CATTGATTTTCTTAATAATTGGGCTTTACCTTGACACGTGGCCTTACCCTATTGGTTTATTTTAGGTGTAAACAATGCCCCCCAACACTTGGTTTTATGTGAATAAATCCAAGTGTTTAAATTTTAAACTCACCTCCAAAGACTCCTAAGGCCACGTGTTTAATTAACTTAAATCCCCACCTTTTTATGCTCCTTTCCCGAAAATCTGCAGATTTCCTTATCACATCTCAATCTCCTTTTCATTTAAATATATTTAAATACTCCATTGACTCAGCCACACCCCTTTTTTTATTATCAACACCTCATCGCCTACCCACACTTAAGCTCACTTCATTCACTTCATTTGAGAAATCACAACCAAAATAGAATAAACCCACCTTCTGTCGTCTTCTTCAACCTCGTCGCTTCCAGATCTAGTGCTAGACCATGGCTGGCAGCAAGAAAACCGGCACTGCATTTGGTGCCGCCGGAGCTTCTTCCCCTCAAACTGATCCTCCAGAACAAACGGACCCTGTTGACATCTTCGAAAACCGAGATCTGCGAGAAGAGCTTTCTTCGGTTTGTAATCAGGTACCAAAAGGCTTTTCAGACCAAATTTTTCTTGAAACTTCAGATTCTTTAATTCTGGGTCCTGTTTTCACATCGACACCTCCTTCAAATTTGCATGCTCTGTATCCTCAACCTCACAGACATTTCCTCCCCTTCCAACTCGAACCAGACTGGGAACCTTGGCTTGGCAGATTTGGGTCTTGGCCAACTAACAAATCTGATGATTGGTCTGCTTGGGTTACTCGGTTGGAAAAACCCTTTGGGAACACATGGAAAACATTGGGTCTGTATGAATTTATTCAAATGACCACCTACCAGACATCCATGGATAGGGTTTTGCTTGGAACTGCCTTGCTGTTTTGGTCTGGGTCTTATAATTGTTTTCATTTCCCTTGCGGTGCTATGTCTGTCACTTTGCTTGACATTTGTTCTCTTACTGGTCTGCCTTGCGTTGGAGAAGAAATCACAGCCTTATTGAGCGTCCCGAGTGCTGATTTTGACACAAAATCCATTCTACCCTCCTACAATGCCTTTATTAAAGCTAGCCAGCAACCATCTGAAGCCCCAGACGTGAGAGAACATACTGCATTTCTGCTAACCTTAATTTGCAAATTCATTGTCTGTGTAGCTGGAAAAGGACCCACCAAGGAGTATATTACTCTGGCCTTGGCTTTAGCTCATGGTAGGCGTCTGGCACTTGCTCCATTTCTGTTGGCTAGCCTTTATCGAAGCTGTTATGATGCTACTGTTTATCCGTTCAGCCTCTGTGGTGGTCCTTTGTGGCTTTTGCAGCTTTGGTTATACTGTTATTTCCCAACTTTGGCTCCTATTCTCAAGCAGCTGCCTACTGAAAAAATTCTTACTTATGGCATGATTTACAAAGATGCCACATTTGAAGACAAACCTGTTAGGACTCATGAAACTTGCTTCCAATTTTTTACTTCCCTCTCCATCGATAAACCAGACTTTGAATTTGCTCCATTTCTAAGCAGGCAATTTGGGCCGGACTGGTATAAAGCGGAAATAGGAACAACAGACTTCATTTCAGCATAGACATCCTATGTAACTCCTCGAGATCTGTTTATAGGTTGTAGTAGCAACTGTAAAAAGAGTGGGGCTGAGCTCTATGCCCTTAACCAGTTCAGCCGGCAATTAGGCTATTGTCAAGGAATTCCAGTACCTCCCATGTTCTCTTTCAACCACTGCTTCCCTCTTCGCGACACCATGAAAGGACCTAGTGTGGTCTCCCAGTGCTTAGCCACTTCAATGCTTGCTCTTCAGAATATAAACCTCCAAGATCCGCCATTCAAACCAAAATGCACTATGGCGTATAAGGAATGGTGGAAGTCTTATTTTACGCCAAGTTTTTCTGGTGTGGCCAAGAACTTTATCAATCTTCTTCCTTCTTCACATTCCAGCCAGCCTGTAGTAAACATAGAACCTCAGACTGATGATACAATACCAGATTCTGCTGCTTCACGTCGCACTTTGGCAAAAAGAAGGGCAATAGCCAAGCGGAAGGCGTCTAGCATGGCAAGTCCTGAAATAGACAAGGCATCCCACCAGGCTCCCAAAAGAGGAGGTATTATCTAATTGTAAAATATAAACCTTATTTTAAATTTCCAATCCACAAGACATTGACTCCTCTTGAAATTCATTTGCAGGTATCAAACGAGCAGCCCAAAAACCTCCTTCAGTTAAAAGGTTGGCCACAATGCCTCCATCTTCTCCCTCTGAAGCCTCCTCGGCTGTTGATGTCCGTCTGCAGGGCTTGATTGATGAAATAACTCACAATCCCACTATTAAAGACCCAATTGATAAGTCTCCAAGCCGCGAAGATTCAGACTCCTCTCCTTCAAACACCCAAAAACTTTCATCTAAGACGAGAAATTCTCGTTCCTCCTTGTAGCTTGCTAACAAGAATTTCAAGACTGTCAACCCAAATGAAGTGATCGATCTCTCTCCCAACACCAAGAAGACAACCACTTCCACTACATCAACTCCATTTCAAGCCAGCTTTCCAACCCCCACAGTAAGTAATTTGTTTGTGAGAATTCACAACAAAGTCTGCCTTAAACTTTCTGTCTGTAAGCACTAATAATTTTTATAAAATAGATTTCAACTCCTCCAACTACCATTGATGATGCCATGGAAGACGAAATCTTTGCCAAGTTTGAGAAATTGACAAGTCCTCCAATGTCAAGAGAGTTACGTTTGACAAGAAAAGGAAAATTGGTAATTGAGAGTACTGGCTCAGACACGCCAATACCTAGCCCAGAACAGATCAGCATCGCTATCCAGACCTTAGAAGAGCTAATTAATGGAGATCCAGCAAACTTCTATCGCCTTCCAGACCAGCCAACCATCATCAGCGCCGCTAAAATCTTAAGTCACTCGCTAGATTTGTCTGTAACTCAGAAAAAATTCTGGACTGACTTCCCTTTTATCTTCACAGATTTTTGCAGGCGCTTTGCAGTCAAATCAGATGCTATAGAGAAAGCTGAGTCTGCCCGTAAAACTCTGGATGATGAGACTGCAACTTTGGTCAGCAAGAAGGCAAAATGTTTATCCATAAAGCATAATCATGAAGCTCAGCTTAAATGCATACAGACCACACAAGGTGAAATCCAACGTCTTGAGGCAGAATTATCCAGACTCCGTGAGCAGCTTTCTTCCCAGGAAGAATTTGCAAATACCTTATCTGATCAAAGGACTCAAGCATTTGCTGAATTAAATTCTCACATCGATCATGCCGCCACTTTGCAGTAGACTCTGGAAAGGCTTACAGACTCTACTGACCAAGCTGAAGAAGAGCTCACTTTCATGAGGATGGAATGGAGTGACTAGCGCAACCATTTCCCTTAAGTTTCTTGCTAATCCATTTCACTGTCTAAATCATTTTTGATTCTGCAGCCTATGGCTATTAGCCACATTATAAACTTACTTTTGAACTTGTTGATATTCTCTCTTCTTGAAAAATAATTGTAGCAAGCTCTTTCATCTTATTTTGATTTAATTCTGTTTGAGCATTGCTTGCCTTCACAGCCAAACAAGGCCACTTGATCCATCTTGTTCTTATTTTGGAATAAACATATGAAAGCAAATCAACTTATTTGTGCATAGACAGAAGTATAAACCTGGTTCAGACAGCTTCTTGTGACTCTAAACCTTTTGCCTCCCAGACTGTAGGGTAATAAGGCTTGAGATAAATTCCATTGATTTTTCTGGGATGAAGCTCTCCATCAAGTGACTCCAACCAATAAGCACCCCCTCTCAACACTTCATGAATTCGGAATGGTCCTTCCCAATTTGGGGACCATTTCCCAAATCTGTGATCTTTCTTGCCAAGAGATAAAATTGCTTTCCAGACCAAGTCACCAACTACCAGATTTTTACCTTTTACCCTCTTGTTGTAAGACTTTGCAACTTTGAGTTTTTGGGCTTGCAATCTATCCAAAGCTGTCAAACGTGAATCTTCAAGGTTCTCAAGCTCAAGCATCATGGCCTCATCATATTTTCTAGACTGGAGATTATGCTGAATCATCACTCTTAAAGACCTGGCTGTTAGCTCCATTGGCAAGACTGCGTCATGGCCATATGTCAAGGCAAAAGGTATCATTTTGGTTGAACTCCTTTGTGAAGTTCTATAAGCCCACAGTGTTTCAGACAATAATTCATGCCATCGTCTGGGATTGTCATCCACCATTTTTTCCAGCAAATTAATCACCACCTTGTTAGAAGCTTCCGCCTGCCCATTAGCTTGTGCATAATGAGGAGTAGAATTTAACAAACGGAAACCCATTTCCTTTGCAAATACCTCCACCTGATGGCTGACAAAAACTGTGCCTTGGTCTGTTGTAATTGTTTCTGGCAGACCAAATCTGTGAATAATGTCCGCTTTGATGAACTTGATTACATCAGATTGGTCTACCTTCTTCATTGGTTTAGCCTCCACCCATTTGGTAAAATAATCCGTTGCCACTATAATAAATGAATGACCTTTTGATGAAGGGGGATACACCTTACCAATTAAGTCAATAGCCCAGTCTCGAAATGGCCATGGTTTCACAATAGAATTAAGTTCAGAGGCTGGAACTCTTTGAAGTGGCCCATGGATCTGACAAGATTTGCAGCCCTTAGCATAAGCAATACAATCTTTTAAGACAGACGGCCAGAAAAAGCCATGTCTGCGAATTAACCAACGCATCTTGATCCCAGCCTGGTGTGCACCACAAATCCCATCATGGACATCAGACAGCATCTGGAAACTTTCATCTGGACCCAGACAACGCAGCAGTAGTTCATCATTGCCTCTCCTATAAAGTACATCCTTAATCAAGACATAATTGAGAGCTTGCATTTTGGTTTTCCTAGATACCTTCATACTTTGATCCTTAAGGTACTGAATAATTGGAAAGCGCCAGTCCGTCTGGGTAACATCAATGCTACAAGTGGAGACAGTCATGCCACGTTGATGAATTGATGGCAAACTGCGTTTTTCAACTATTACAACTTTCTGCATTACACCTTCAGGAATTCGCAGACTTGAAGCAATCTGGGCCATTTCATTAGCTTCATAGTTCTGGTCTCTGGGCACATGTCTGATGGACACGTCATCAAATTCTTCCAGCAATTGCACAGCCAAGGCAAAATAAGGGGCTAAAGCAAGGCTAGTACATTTGTAGTCACCAGACAATTGCTTCAAAACTAGCTGTGAGTCCCATATAACCTCAACCATGGATACTTTAAGCTCCACCAACATCTCAAGACCAATAATCAAAGCTTCATATTCTACTTGATTATTTGTGCAATTAAAATCCAGCTGGAAAGACATCTGTGTTTTCAGCCTAGACGGGGAAATTACCACAACTCCAGCTCCAGACATGGTTTCTGTACTGGATCCATAAAAAATAAGTTTCCAGGGAACTAAACTTATTGAAAACAAGTTAATCCCTTTTTCTTCATCTGCCTCCACGTCCAGACATGGATGATCTACAAGAAAGTCTGCCAGTGCCTGCCCTTTGACAGCCCTCTATGGTATATACTTCAAATTAAACTCAGACAAGGCCAAAATCCATTTACCTATTCGGCCTCTTAACAAAGGGTGGGACAACATATATTTGACAATATCAGTCTTGGCAACCACATACACCTCAGAATAAATCAAATAATGTCTTAATTTTATTGCATCAAAAAAAAGAGCAAGACACAACTTTTCGACCGAAGAGTATTTCACTTCGGTCTGGGTCAAACATCGACTCAAGTAATACACAGCCTACTCCTGTTTTTTATCATTTTCCTGCGCCAGCAGACATCCTATGGACTCATCTGCGGCGGATATATACAAAATTAAAGGCTTATTTTTCACAGGCGGTACAAGTACTGGTGGTCTGGATAATACCGCTTTATCATATCAAAGGCAGACTGGTGGTGTTCTTCCTACTTAAAATCCGCTTCAGACTTGAGTTTCAACAGGGGAGAAAAGACCCTGGTTTTCCCAGCCAAGTTAGAAATGAAACGTCTTAAGAAATTAACTTGGCCAAGAAATCTTTGCAACTCCTTCTTGTTCTGTGGTGGTTTCGCCTCAATCACAGCCCTGGCTTTGTTCTTGTCAACCTCCAGACTACGCTCATGCACCAAGTACCCAAGGAAGTTACACGCAGACACTCCAAAAGCACACTTAAGTGGGTTCATTTTCAAGCCATGTTGCCTCATCCGCTCAAAAGACTTCCTCAAATGAACCAGGTGGTCTGCCTCCCCATTTGATTTCACCACAACATCATCAATATAAATTTCCATGAATTTACCAATCATATCATGAAAAATTGCATTCATGGCTCTTTGATAGGTAGCTCCAGCATTCTTCAGACCAAATGGCATCACAACCCATTCAAAAGTTCCAACAACACCTGGGCATCGAAAGGCTGTCTTAGGAACGTCTGCGTCTGCAATAAAAATTTAGTTGTACCCACTATGACCATCCATGAAAGATAGAATTTTGTGACGGGCTACTCCATCAACTAACAAGTCTGCAATTGGCATAGGATACTCATCCTTTGGTGTAGCTAAATTCAAGTTTCGGAAATCAACACACTCTTAATTTTCCATTCTTTTTCAGCACAGGCACTACATTTGACAGCCAGTCTGCATACCTGCATGTCCGAATGAATCCAGCTTTTACCAGCCGCTCAATTTCTTCTTTCACCTTCAAAGTAACCTCTACAGACATGCGTCTGGGCGGCTGTTTATACGGTCTGAATCCTTCTGCAATTGGCAATTTATGTTCCACCAATTTTCGATCCAGACCTGGCATTTCTGAGTAATCCCAAGCAAAACAGTCTTTAAATTCATGCAGAAGTCTGACAATTTGATCTCGTGTCTGCGGCTCAAGAGAGTCGCTGATAAATGTTACCTTTGGTTCACTTTCAGACCCTAGATTGATCTCCTCCAATGGGTCTTGAGCTTCAGCTTTTAAATCATCCAACTTGGCTGAGGCCAGATCCAGCTCCTCCAAAGTTATTCATCACCTTGGTCTGCCTCCTCACCTTCATGAACAATTTCAGACCTGTCTACTTGAACTACTTTTTCAGCAAAATAGGCCGCTAATTTCTTTGTTATCTCCAACACGGCCTTTTCTCTTTCCTGTCTCAGACGAGCTTTGCTTCATTAGATTTCTTCAATTTTTAGTTTCCCCTTCGGCCTATAAGGAATTATTGTTGTTGGCCGAAGAAGTTCATCACAGACTTCCTCCACAGCACACTTAGACAAAGACGGTCTGCTGCATGCTGTTATCCCAATCGGTTTCCCATGTCTATCCATCCCAAAAAACCGAATGGTACCAATGTCTTCATAATATCTAGCCTCCACCAGGTGAGTGTTGGCTGAAAAAGGCTTATCATCTGCAGACACGACCTCAGCCTTGCCACCATTCCAGAAAATCAGTTTCTGGTGAAGTGAAGAAGGGACACACCAACTTGAATGAATCCAGTCACTCCCCAAAAGTGCATTATAAGTAGCAACAGTATCCACCACAAAAAACACAGACATCAGTGTCCTATTTCCCACTGTTAATTCAACAGGCAGCACACCCCTTGAATGATTCACCCCTCCTGTAAAATCACTAATTGTAACCTCAGTATGCACTAAATCATCAAGAGACTTGCCTATTTTGTAGAGCATGCAAGTTGGAAGGACATTGACTGCAGCTCCATTATCCACCAAGACACGGCTGATTG